TTTTTACTATGCTCTAATCATTAAAATAGCCAAAGAGTAATGAATTAGCAAATAAATACTGTTTTTTTTTATTTTCTTTTTATTTTGGCCTATTTACGTATTAATTAGGAACAAAATACAAAAATTACAGTTGGCAAAAGTAATAATAAGCAAAAAATTAACATGGAAATTTAGGTACCCTAAATAGCCATTGAAAGATACATTAACTACTTATTTAAAAATAAATAAAATAAACCATCAACATTAATTGAAAGTATTAAGGGAAATGAACTCAAATTTTGCTTAATGAGTTCTTTAATTTTCGGAAACGGTTTTTAACTTAAAAACAGCTTGTACGGAATATTCGACTACGGTTCACATTATTAAGACCAAAAACTTAATACAGTATTAAAGCATAAAACTTTGAAACTTAACTTACTTTATAGGGTATTTGTATTTAAAAAATATCTTAGCTTTTTACAAGCCGCATTTTTAAATTTCACATCTTTTTAAGCACTGACATCAGTTATAAAACTGAATCAATTCAACATATATGAATTGTTACTTTAAGTGTGTATCCAAATTTCTATAGTGATATTAAGTTTAAAAATGTGTATCCCTTGATTATCATTACGAATCACAATCTTGGCACAATTTTATTTTTTTAATTCATTAACCTTAAACTAATGTCAATAAAATCAACTTTTGTTATACGAGTTCTGTAATTTTCTGAAATAGTTATTATAAACAGTTTTAATAAACAGTTATTTCCGAAACGGTTAAAATTAGCTTGAAATACTATCTTAGATTCGTACACAGCATTAGTGCCTATAGTCAGTGCCTAAATATTGTATAAAATTTGGAACATAACTTACTTTAGTGGATATTTATGTTTAACCCACTGACAGTTTAGCTAAAGAGCAAAGTTGAGAGAATGTTTCTCCCCTACATATTATTTCTCTATCGTAATATATGGAAACACCGGTTTTGCAATGCGGAGAAGACTGCATGTTAAAATATGACTTTATACGTGCAGAACCGTCAGTCAGTGGGTTAAAATGTATTTCACTTTTTTATGAACCACGTTTTTAAATTTTATATCATGAAAACACTTATATTAGTAAAACTAAATCCATTTATCGCATATAAACCGTTAATTTAAGTTCTATAATATGGCACCCAAATTTATATAGTATCATGGTTTTAAATTTAGAAATGTATTTCCCACGTTTATCATAAAAATGAGTCAAAATATTAGTCTAAAATTAAATTAGACTCAATTTTTCTTTTTGAAGTGCGCATTTTTTTAAACTTTGTAGTTCTTTTTAGAAATATTAAATAAAGGCATGAGGTGTGTTAATTTATCTCAAAAATATCTATAACTTTAAGACCAGAAAACTGAATGATACTTTTTTTAATTTTATCCTGTTTATGAGAGAGATTCTAATTCATAATGATAAAATAATTATACACAAGAGCAAGGATATTTGCCGTTAGCTTTGCTACTCATTTTTTTGACAATCAAGATTATAAAAAACATAACTTACGTTTAACTTAAATACTTAAATTTTCTTTTTTTTATTATACTTCTAAAGATACATAGTATTATTCTTTTATCTAGGGAACGTGTCTCTCATAATTTGTTTCGCCGAAAATCATTCGTCCGCATGATTCGGTTTAAACAAAAAAATAAATAAATCAAATGTATTATACTTACTGAGCGGAAAAATTTTGAAAGATACATTTATAGAAGTATTTATAGAAAATCGTAGTATCAACTACAATTTTTTCAAAACTTAAAAAGATATACAATTTTTAGCTATGGGCATATTAAGACTACCTTTGAATTTAAGGGTTTAGGACATCTATAAACATAAATAATAAGTGAAATAATTTTTTTTTCTCCAAGCAATGGTTCAGATCATAACTTCGGCATGTATTGTAGTTAATATATTGAGCTCTTTTTGTGTAAAGTAAATAGATAAATTATTATTACAGCATAGTATCATAAAGTTACATTTTTATATTTTTTTCTTGCATCAATTCTAGAATTATTGTAATCTATCAGATAATCAGTAATATGACAATACAATTGAAAAAAAAGTGACTTGACAGCTTTTTTCTTTTTACTAATAATGCTGTGAATGCTAAACTGATCTGATAAAAATATTTTGGGCAAAAAATACAACATTTATCATATCAAACAAAAAAAATCAAATATATATAGTCATCAAAATTGAACTTCTTGTTCCTTACATTGGTTTTTCTACAATGACGGCAGCACTAGTACTATCCTGATAATATTTTTAATAAATTGATTAATATAATTTATAAAATGAAATAAAATTTCACACTGTAAAAACTGTGGAGTAATACATACCCAAATTTGGTGTAGTAAAACTCTGAAAATTGTATGAATATTAATTTTATTTCATGTTAAAATCAAATAAAACGTTCTTTTTAACCTTAAAGGGTGAATTTAAATCTTAACACAAATCATCTATAAAGCTTACATCAATCTGCAGCTTGTTTGAGAAGGATGTTGTGTTTTTCGCAGATCTGAAAAATTTAACCAATATTATATATCAACACTATTTTGCTATATTTTCCTGTGTGAAATGTAAGGCATGTTTTAAGCGTCGAACAATATGGAATGAATATTGGAAGTTTAAATTCGAGAAATTTTTAAATTTTAAAATGGTGCAAGATGATAGTGGCAAGTTTACATGATGTAGTGGTAAAATGTGTTCTCTTCGGATTGAATTGAAAAAATTGTCATAGCCTATTTTATAATAAGCAAAGTACAGTACGGTACTTTTATTTACGTTACACTAGAGCTGCACAATTGACGATTGGCGACAGTCTTTAAAACATCCCTGAGGATGATCTGGAAACAACATACATACGTCGCTTCCCGTTTTACATGGGGGACACATTCACGCACCACCCATCCACACATCGTAATTTTGAACTCAACTCAACCTTGGCGCGATCAGTCTTTGATTCAGTACCCCAGGAGGTATTGATTTGTGATCCCAACTGATTTAGAGTGCACCAGTCATCATTAGCTTGCGGTTGGATTCCGCGTAAGTTTCAATCCTCTTTATTAATTAATAAAAAATAAACATCAGAAATGATCGATTAATTGCCCAGAAATATGACAAACTGATAGATTTGACTAATTATAAAACTATAAAAAAAGGCATGTATGTTTGTATTTGCATAATACATATATGTATGTTCCCTGAACATTATCTGTAAATTCCAGTTTTCAAACTTATAACTCTTATTACCGTACATTAAGTAACAAATATGAAGCAGAAAAGCAAATATAACAAAATAAATGGATTTTAATTCCATGCTCTAAAGTATCATGAAAAAATTACTAAAATGTTCCTCAGATTTATAACTCATAACTTACATTTGTGGGTTTCTTTGTAAATACAAAGTACAGCTTAATTTTTTTTTCAGTTTGAAAAACAGACAACCCAATTTTATGAAAGAATTGCAAAATACAAGAAGCACCGTGAGATTCAAGTAAAATATCCATAGATTTTTGGAGCCTCCATTGCCACGGGGTGTTGTCATTCCGCGAAACACTTGAAATTGTAGAAATATTGGGTTCAATACCTCTGTGTTATTTTTCTGTACCACAATTTTATTAAAGGTAGATACTTTTACTTACGTCGCCCTAGATCTGCACAATGGGCTATTGGCGATGGTCTGGGAAACATCCCTGTGGATGATCCAAAGACATGCCATTGCAATTTTAATCTTCTGTAGAGGAAATGGCTCCCCTCCTAATAGTAGACCGACGATCTGCATGTGAAGTCCAGCGCTTTACAGTAATTAAGTTTAGCAAAGACCAGTACAGTGCACCCTCTCTCTCTCTATACACGCTAATCAATTGCTGTCAGCAATGCTTGATTTCAGTGTATACTGGGAACCGTGTCTTCGCGATCAGTCCACTGTGGGACCAATTTGACAAAAGATAAGCCATTTTTCGCATTAAGGACGAACCTGTATACAAATCTAAAGCAAATTTATTCATTTAATAGTACACACTCATTGTTACTCTTTGATTTGAACCTTCTACCTTTTAAAATAAGGTTTGTTGTGAAGACGAGACTGATGCAAAAATAATTTAAAAATACCAAATTATGATAAGTATTTTTATATTTATTGTTACCTATGTTATTGCTCGGCTTTCGTGCAGAGCAGATTACGGAAATCACATATTAAATATAATGCATATTAAAAATGACTTTGCCAATATGCATTCATTGTAACGTAAGTTAGGAACTTTGAACCTCTCCGTATCCTGAGATATATTTTTATGATCTTTTACTTGTTTGACAGTCCTAACGGTATTTTGACTTGACAAGAACATATAAGCCGAGCTTCGAAATGAGTATACAAGCCTGCGTATGTGTACGTAACAATGAATAAATATAAATATAAATAAATAGTTACCTTCATGCACCAATTTTAGGATGTTAGGATAGCCCTGATGCGTTACAGTTAAACTATTGATATAGTTCAGTCTTGTCTAGGCATTTGTGTGCTTATAAATTTACATTTTTGCACTTTTAATGGTTGGTAGATGTTAACTTGCTGCTTATAAATAAATAAATGACTAACTAAAAATCACAATGAACATTTTTGTGTCTTCTCAAACTATATCAGTACTGTTAAAATGACGGAATTTAGGATAAATTACAAATTTTACCACTACCAAACAATATGATACTAAAATCCTTCTTTATTGTTAATTTTATCAAAAAACCATTCCCAAATCAGTTCAGTAAAACATACCGCTTTTTTTTCGGTTTTTCCATAAATCCGGAGACGTGGAAAATTTTACCTTATTCTCGTAGTTTTGACCATACATTTTTTCTAAGTTGTACGCTACAAAAACATCATCCATAGATATTTCTCCTCAAACGTCATTCTGAAGATATTTATCATTCCCAAAATACTATCATAGTTACAAATCTAAATTGCTAGCTAACTTTTAAGTCATAACATCAATAGTATTTTGATTTTGAGTTCAAACTTAATCAGGATAAAGTAAATTTAATTTCAAGATTCTACAGCAGAAGTGAGGATACTTTGATAAGCAAAAAAATTCAGAAGTTTGTTTGATCAAGTTGCGAGAGCAAAACAAAAAAAAAGCCAAAATCATTGGAAGAGGAAGGACTGTCTCGGCGCAAAGGGAGATTTCGAGTATCAAACGGGACTTCTAACCGACCTGTCATGCGCGCTTTTCTGCCACACTTTGAAGACCGCTCATTCCGCGGGAAGCGTCTGACGATGTAGTTCACATCTAAAATATTCTCCAGCTCAGGCGAAAAAGCACGTTTTGCTTCCCGAAAATCCGTAACAAAGATATTGATAACGTGTTGCAGACACTAAAATAAATTATCGTCCCTGAAAATTCGAGCTATTTTTCAGCATGTCTATTACTTGATTGAATTAACTTATTCAATTAATTTAATAATCATGGAAGGAACAGTTTTTGAGTTGCCAAGAAAACTGTGTGGTGATTGGACATTTTTTTAGTCACGGATGTATAATGTATTTATTCTGAAACAGAAAAACAAAGTTATAATAGTTGTTATATTAACTTTTGAATAATTCAATTACCTGATCTAATACCAAACTATTACCAAAAGAAAGCTACTGGGAGTAGCTTGGAAAGACACAATTTTCTTGCTGTAAATTTATATTTAAATCGGTTTTAAAGTTTGACCAGCAAATTAAGATACCCCAGTGTACAGTCTATTGTGAAATTAGAAAGAACCGAAAAATATATATTCCGCAATTATATGCATTTCATAAATTAAGGAGGCTATATGTTTTATGAAGTAACAAGTATTGTTGGTGTTTAAAAATCACTGAAGTATAATACTTTTCAATTTTTATCTAAATCTTGCTTTCTAGAATGCTTAGCAATTCGGAATAGTCATCTCATTAAGAATCTTTGAAAATATTAAAAAAAGATTGAGCGACAATAGTATATGGCGCATGCATTGAAATATTATCCTAAAAATACAAAAATATTATTTGGGTTAAATCAAAATTTATAATACGTTTAGAAAAATTATTAAAAACATGCCATCTCTTTCACTGATATGCAAGACGGAAAATATTACAAACTTTCTGAAAGTTTCGTAACTTATTACAAGTAAAGTATTTATCGTTTAAAGCATCAAAAGTATCAGAATAACAGACCATGTGGACTTTATCAGCATCGGCACACAGTAATGACTTTTATGGACACCATACCATTATTTTTCCAGCTGCCAAAACGTTTTCACTTCTGGTGATGATGATATCTGGTAAGTCTGATTTATTTTTATACTTCTGGATAATGCGTTAGCCATAAAACTTTGCTTTATTGATTGAAAGAAAGAAATTTTTAAGGATATTAACTCTTTAAAAGAAATACTAAAATCGTTGAATCTATATTAGAAGCCGCTGTAAAGTAATCAAGCAGTTATTATCTAATAACCATTGGTGCTGAAATATTTTCGAAGAATAATTATTTCATCAAAGTTTTATTACAGAGTTAATTTAATGCAATAAAAACAAGTATCTATTCAACAATATAATAAAACAAGTATAACATTAAACATTGTACTATAGGTTTTAAGTATTTTTATTCGAACTGAATAATACAAAACGTAATGATTTTCATTACGTTATTGTAATTTTAAAGTAAATACTAGATGTTGTGAACATTTTTAATATCAAAGAAAGCTTAAAAATAAAACACAAAGGTTATTTGTTACTTGTTTAAGTAATAAATATAATATTTGATAGTCGCAATGATATCTATCAACATGGAGAAAAATTTTAGTCAAAATTACCGTACTTTACAGTAATAATATGTCTGGTAAAAAAATCCATAATTTTTGTTAATAAAACCGCAATATACAGTATTCAAAACCAGTAAATATGGTACTTTTTCTGTTCTATCTGTATCTGTTTATCAGAAACTCTGGATTTCGAAATGAAAGTTCTTATACCACATATTAAAAAAAATACAAAGCTGACAATTAAACTTAGCTAAGAATTTTTATGTACTAAAGGGAATATTTTTAAGGACAAAATTAAGGATTTTTACGCCGTATCCTGAGGAATTAGAAAATAATACAGAATTTTACGTTATTTATCATACATTATAAAACAGTATTTCAAATTTAATTTTACCAAAATCATTAACAATCTCTCTAACAATTAACAATTAACAACAATTAACAATCTCTTCGTTTAAGATTACTGACAGCTTTTTGGTGTTCCTATAGAATCATAAATACTGCAATTTTTACAATATTCTGGTTATTTTGGCCATGATTTTTTTTCTTAGTGTAAGATTCCAAAATATTAATTTCATTTATGTTTATCAGTTTTATGCATATAAATATTATGTATACAACTTTACTTTTTTATGCAATTTTTGAAAATTCAGAAATATTTATATTTTTCTGCAAAATTCATTATTTTAAAATTTTTTTAGAGAAAAAACTTCCACTATAAAACAACTACAAAGGGAGAAAAATTTTCTTCATGCTGTCCTAAATTTCATAATTTCTTTCATCTCTCAATTCATATTAGTATTACGAAAATTTATTTCTGAGAAAACTCAAAATAACTTTAAGTATTCGGGTAATTCTCAATGGGTATGAGCACAAAACATAACTAGACTCTTAGATCTAATAATTAGCAAGCATACATTTATTGTCCAGTAAAATTTTTAAAGTAACTTTATAATTCCGTCCAGGGAAAATAATTCGTATAAATTACTGCAAAAGTGTTCGATCAATAACTTGAAAATATGTTTTTTTCTTATCGAAATATACAATTTTGAACAAACATGTTATTTATTGAACAAATGTAACAGTGAAATATAAGATTTTAATTTTTTTCCAGACGTTAAGGAACAAAACTGGGTGAAAAAAAATCAAACACATATTTAATAATACCCCTTGAAATGACAGCATTACATAAGTAATACTGCATTATAGAGCTCATTCAAAAGGCTGAAAGAGTTTTAGGAAGAGCAATTTATAGCTTAGATACATGTACAAAAGTAACGATTCAAACAGGGCTATTATTCCAACTAGGCTGGAGTTAAATATGTAGACTTAGACTAAACTACTTAATCCGTGCTTCAATTAATGTTTTCCCTTATTGTGAACCATTAAAAAAAATTCAAAATATTTTAGCAAAAAAATGCCTTTTTTTATTTATGACTTAGCAAAAGATCAAAATAATGTACTGATCACAACTCTAATACACTCTAAAAAGTTCCGAAGAAATCAAAAATCAAATTATAAGTATTGACAACCTGAGGCCCGATCTTTTTTACCGATTTTTTTTAACCGGAACATGTTATGAAAAAAAAACTCTGATATGCCTTAATTTTTACAGAAAATTTTTTCGTAAAAGCATTCTAATTAAATAAATATTACAGTATAAATTATTGCTTAATATTTCACAACGCATCATCCTCCTACGTATTGCCTGACCCTACCTATCGGCTAATCCTTATACCGTAATTTATACCGTAATTGCAATTTATACAGGGTGGAATTCACATAAATACGTTATTTAAGATAACTTGAAATACGAAATTTCAGTTTAAACTAGTTATTACTGATATTTTTAGCAAATTATTTTGAAAAAAAATATTTTTGTATAAAAAAAGGTATTTGATGCTCATAAGTATTGGTAGAAATTAAAACTAATTATAACATTGTAGCTCTCATTTTTTGAGAAGTACTCATTTCCTACTAATGAAGGAAACTAATTTTTGATAATCAAATTTATATAGAATATGAGAATTTAGAATATAGACTTTATAACAATCAATTTCTGTATGCACCTTTACTCAGCTAAATAGCTTTAATACACACACACACACACATATATATATNTATATATAAGCGTTTTTTAAAAAAACAATTAAATGTAAATTATTAGTTTTCATATTTTTGTAACACAAGAAGTTAATGATAACAAATAAAATAATAATTTGAATGGATTGATGTATTTTCATAATTTAAACGAATAGAAGAAGAAAAAGTAAGAAAAACAAAGTATGCAGAATTTTATGTTCTTAGTTATTGTTAAAAGCAGTGTTTATTTTTAATTAAAACGTAGAGTTTAAAAATAACTGTCAAAAATTCTATTCAGAAAATTGAAAAATTTAAAACGCTTTGAAAGTATTAATAATACTTAAAACATGAGATGAAGATTTAAAGCATTTTTAATACTAGTACTTACATTAAATAAAACAAAAAGAAATTCATCCATTAATGAATAATAAAAATTATGAATAAGGAAATATTAATACTCTACTAATTACATTTTGTATATTTGCAAAGATTTGTGTAAATTTAAATCTAAGAAAAAACTTATAAACCAGAATTCGCATTTAACAGAAGCATTTTTTAACACTTATGCTCGTCAAAAAAATTTATAAATATTAGAACGTAGTTAAAATATTTTACCTTTTAATCGAATCTTACTTTATTTTATCTTTTCATATTGCATTAAATGCAAGTCATTAACATTTAAATGCAGAATTTTTTTGAAAAAAATTAATTTAATAACTTAAATGCATTCTCATTGAACGAAATATACTGATAGAAGTAATTATTATTTTTGATTGAGACTTCAAATTATGTGTGGGAAATATTTCTTCGAGAAAGGTTTGTGCAATAATTTGTTCCCATTAGAAAACATATGCACTATGGGAATCTACACTGTAGGTTGGATAAATAATTAAAAGCAATTGAACGATAATGCCAATGCACATTTTGTTGCAAATTACTAAATTGTTGAGATGAGACAGACACATTAGTTTCGTTGTCAATTAATAATGGTAGTTTTCATAGGAAGCCTTTGGATAGTCATTGTTTATCTTATTCATGTAGTATAAAATGCTTTTTTTTCCTGATCGTCTATAGAGCTGCTGAATTTTCATTTTACATTTTTAGATACATTTCAGTTCAGTTTTCCTAAAAATGAAAAAAAAGGAAAAAAATATGTGTTAAAATGGCTTATGTACATACTTAGTATTACTAGCTATAGTATATAATAAATATATTTTTTTAAAACGTTTCGTACCTAGTTTAAAATATAATTCCACTAAATATATAGTTTTTATAAATATATATTTGAAATAATCATGAACTCACATTAAAATTTATTCTTATTTACAATTTTTTTTTAATTAATTTAGTCTGAAGATGCAATTCAAAGAGTAATTCTGCAAATTTTGATACAAATATGAGTGGTTTTGTCCTTAAAACAATAATTCAAAATAGGAATAATGCAGGGATATTCATTAGTTTAAGATGTTTTCTTTTAGAAATTCACAGAGCAGGTTAACAGAGCATAACTTTAAGATACATAATACCGTTACACGTTAACAAAATAACGAAGCATTTGCTGAATTATTTTAATAAAATGCTCATGGCAAGCTACTTAAACATTTTTAAATTAATTTTTCTTTCGACATTGCTGAGGTGAAAAAAAAGCAATTTAACATTTTCTTGACAACATGTTTTCTAAACCTTTTTGCTATATGATAAAAATTCCTATTAAAGAATGTTTTAAATGATTTTTGCACAATAAAGATATTTCGTTTTTAAGGAAAAGATATAAAATAGAGTAAAATGAGTATTTTTTTTCTGAAAAATTTGAAACCAAGTAATTTTATTTTAAAATTCGTAGCAAAATAACGTGATGAAATGCTTTCAGGGAATAAGTACAATAAATGTTAATATAACAAAATGCATCATATGTTCGGTATTTATGAATTTTTAATAAACTGTCAGATGCATAAGATTTACTTAAATCAAATTTCAAAAACACTCTTAATTTTTAATATCATTGAAAAATGGTATAAAATTTTAATCTCAAGTACTCAGATTAAGAGTAAGAAAAAAGAATGAAATAGTTTTAAAAATTAACTTTCTTTTAGACTGTTTGGGATAAATGCATTAAAAATATTGAGAAATCAAATTTCAAGTTAGGATTTTTTTAAATGCTTAATGCATTTATAAGTTAATGAAAACAATGTGAAAAACTGGGAGAGATACAATAAAAATATCATATTTTAGGCAAAGTATTTTAACGGCTTATTAGAATAAAATGGCTCAATACTTTTATAGTTTAAAAAAATAGTCTTCAGATTTAAAAAAAGCTTTGTGTGAAGGACTCTAAGTAAATGCGAGATAATTTAGTGAAGATATTATGAAAGGTATCTTTGGATTTGTATTGTAAATCCAATTTTTTAAATCTGTGAAATCTAAATTTCCTAATTCAT